TTAACACCACTCCAAGATGCAGAGTCCTGGCCTATCAGATGGGTTCTGGTGAGTGGTCTCTCAGGACTCAGTTCAGGATTTGGGTGCTAAACATACACCACACACACACACACACACACACACACAGAGTCTTACCATGGGTGAACATTCATACAAATGATTTGTGGAATCCATGATCTGCAGTTTCAGAGAGCAAGAAACAGCCTGAATACCCTCCCAGGGCTAAACACAGAGCTCACACATTCAGCAAGGTCCCATTAGGAAAAACAAAACAAAACAAAAAAAGCATTCAGGAGAACACTTGGAAGAAGGAAAGCCCAAACCGCCAATTCATAAATGACAGGAAGATACTCTCCCACTCTTCCGTCTTTGGATCTTTCCATGGCTAGGGATGGTTCAAATGGTTCCCCTGTTTCAAATCCATCCTTTTACATCTTTACCATTGTCCATATGACTATTTCTTTGTATGTGACCTTAGATAAGTTTCCTGTTCATTTGCAGGGAATTCTTTATATGTTGCAATGGAAATATCAGCTGAGGTCACTCTGTCCTTTAATATTTGGGGCAGACTGAACCTTCTTCCATTGATTTTTAAATATTTTGTACTTTTCCCAAGACTTGTGAAAATTGCCTTCCTTAAGATTAGTGAAAATTCTTCAGGAGTTTGTTTTCCTTGTCACATGTCTCATAGAAGGTCCATCCCTACCTGAATAGGTGAGTGTACATACTGTTTTGCTACTGGGTATTACGATATAGAGGGTGACTCTAAAGTTCATGTGCAATTTTAAATTGCACATTATTTTAAATTGCATACTAACTTTATGGCCACCCTGTATATACTATAACATTTAGAGTCAGCTAAATAATCTAGGCTCTTTCCTTAATACCTTCTAAGAGGATTTACAAGATATCATACATACTTCAGACTTTACTGAAGGTTTGGGTAATTTCAATATTTTATTAGCAGTAACTCCCAGAAGTGGGGATTGAATACTAACATCCATATTCACCAAAAGATATCCTGAACAATTGCTTCCCAATCTCCACTTGGAAAAAGGAGGAAGCTAAGGGTGGAGTGTGAAGGTCTCCTCTGTCCTAGTTACAGTCAGGTTATTAACCTTTCATCCACCATAAATGTCACTCTCAGATTTCCTCCATTTTGATTTGCCCTTTTACTTTTTGCAGTATAATATTTAATGTATTCTCATTTATCAGTATTCTTTTTTTTTTTTTTTTTGACAGAGCCTCAAGCTGTTGCCCTGGGTAGAGTGCCGTAGCATCACAGCTCACAGCAACCTTCAACTCCTGGGCTCAAGCGAGTCTCCTACCTCTGCCTCCCAAGTAGCTGTGACCACAGGAGCCCGCCACAACTCCTGGCTATTTTTTTTTTGGTTGCAGCCATCATTGTTGTTTGGTGGGCCCAGGCTGGATTCAAACCCACCACCGTAGGTGTATGTGGCTGGCGCCTTAGCCACTTGAGCCATAGGCACCGAGCCTTAGTATTCTTTTTAAATTTTCTGCCTTTGATATTTAGAAAATTTCCTACCTTTCATGTACATTTTCTTCCTCTATATTTATAGCATTATTTGCATTTTTTAAACATTTTCAAAAAAGACAAAATTTGGTTTTGGAATATGGTGTAAGATTATTAGATATTCCAAAGTTATAAAAATTAGAAAAAATTCTAGAGCAGTACTAATCAAAATATAATATAAGCCACATATGTAATTTAAAATTTTATTGTAGTCACACTAAAAAAGTAAAAAAGAAGCAAGTGAAATCAATTTGAATAATACATTTTGTTTAACCTCATATGTCTAAATGCTATTTCACTGTTTGATTAACATCAAAAGTTATTTTTGCACTGGCCCCATATACCAAGGGTGGTAGGCTCAAAGCTGGCCCCGGCCAAACCGCAACAACAACAAAATAGCTGGGCATTGTGGTGGGCACCTGTAGTCCCAGCTACTCAGGAGGCTGAGATAAGAGAATCACCTAAGCCTAAGAGCTGGAGGTTGCTGTGAGCTGTGACACCACAGCACTCTACAGAGGGCAACAAAGTGAGACTCTGTCTCTTTAAAAAAAAAAGTTAGTTGTCTTTCATTTTTAGTTGACGTTCAATAATTGTACATATTTAGAGGGTAGAAAGTGATATTTTAATACATGTATATAATGTGTGATGATCAATCAGGGTAATTAGCATATCTATCACCTCAAATATTTATCTTTTCTTTGGACTAGGTTTTCAAAAGTCTAGGTTTTTGAAAATACACAATGTATATTTAACCTACACCATTATTGAATTTATTTCTCCTAACTATAATTTTGTATCTGTTAGCCAACTTCTATCTCCCCTCCCCTCTATCCTTAGCCTCTGATAAACATAATTCTACTCTCTAGTTCTGTGAGCTCAGTTTTTTTTAGCTCCCACCTATAAGTGAGAACAGAGAATGTTTATCTTTCTGTGCCTGGCTTATTTCACTTAATGTCTCATCCATGTTGCTGCAAATGACAGAGTTCCCTTCTTTTTAAGGCTGAATAGTATCCCATTGTGTACGTGTACCATACTTTATCATTTCGTCTGTTGATGGGTACTTAGAATGATTCCATATCTTGGCTATTATGAATAGTGCTGCAATAAACATGGGGGTGCAGAAAATATCTCTTCAACATACTGATTTCCTTTTTTTTTAAATATATGCCCAGCAATAAGATTGCTGGATCATACTCAACAGCAAAAAAATAAATAAATAAACAAATACATTGCTTTAAAAATAGGCAACATCAACAAAAAACAGACAACATATCTGAATAGACATTTCTCAAAAAAAGACATACAAATGGCCAAGTATATGGAAAAAAAAAACTCAACGTCACTAATCACCAGGGAAATGTAAATCAAAACCACAATAAGATATCATCTCACCACAGTTAGAATGACTATTATCAAAAGACAAAAATATTTAGCCAGGTGTGGGTAGTCCCTGTAGACTACAGTCCCTGCTACTTAGGAGACTGAGGAGGGAGGATCTCTTGAGCCTAGGCCTTCAATGCTACAGTGAGCTATGATTATGCCACTGTACTCTAGCCTGGGTGGCAGAGCAACAATGGTGGTAAGGATGAGGAGAAAAGTGAACTCATATACACTGTTGGTGGGAATGTACGGGGAGTCCTAAAAGTCAAGAATAAAGCTGCCATACATAGGGAAAGCGGAAAATTGTAGCTAAATATATCACTATTTGCAAAATATTCATCACAAAATTTTACAAAATGTTTACAAAATATTCTCTACATGTTGGCCACCTCTTTATAAAATACTCAAATATAACATCGGAAGTTATTAATACGATAGTTCACATTCTTTCTGTACCGAATCCTCAAAATACAATGTGCTCTTTATACTTATAGCACATCTTAATTCAGCCGAGGCACAATTCCAACGCTCAATAGCTGTATGTGGCTAGTAGCTGTTATATTGAATAGAACAGGTTTAGCTCAGTGTTTCTAAGCCTCCACACCATTGTCATTTTGAACCTGATAATTCTTTGCTATGGGGTGCCCTGTGCATTGTAGGGAGATTAGCAGCACCACCATCCCCCCCCCCCAGTTATTGCAATCAAAAATATCTGCAGACATTGCCAAATGTCCTGGTGGGGGTGGAGCAAAATTCTCCCTCGTTGACAACCAAAGTTCTAGAAAAAATAGATGTTTGGAAAGAAACCAAGGATCATCTGAGAAAGAATTTTCATTTTAGAAGTTAATATTACTATTTTCACTGAACCATGACAGTAATACTTAAAATAATTATAAGTCCGTCCAGTTGCATGTTCTAAATTCACCCCCCCCCAAGAAAGAGAGGAAGAGAGAGGAGGAGGGGAGGCAGGAGGGCAGAAGGAGGGGAGGCAGATGGGAAGAAGGAGGAGGAAATGACAAAAAGAGAGAAGAAAGTTCTTTTTATATACCTTTGTGGTTATTTGGGACCCCTATACACCAAAAAATATATCAACCTAGAATTAAGGCCACCTTGATGGCTGCCATCAACATGCCATTATTTCAAAAGCTCTACAGATCTTGGCTTTGAAAATAAACCAATGCTTACAGTTCAACATGCATCAGACAGTGCCTGTGGGTTCAGGTTGCTGGAGCTCAATCCTGAAACTGCTTATCTGAAGAAAGGCATGTAATATCAGAAGTGAGAGGCAATGGACCTCAACATTTAGGCGAGCCAATCTCTTCCAAAGTCCCTCTTATCAACCAAGACCTCAGTACTCGGTAACTGGAAGCCTCAATCAACTGTGATGTTTTTAAAGTATTTAGCTGAATACATACACATACACACACACCAAGACAGAGGAATCAAAATTCCAGGAGAGATTTATTCAAAGAAACAAACATGGGGCAGAAGGAATGAACTAAATCAGGAACATGTCTTAGAAAACTTAACATTCGTTATCATCTTATCCACCCAAATCCACGTGTCAATAAAGTATTCCTCAGGTATGGGAAGCTCCTGAATCCCTACCGTTTTCACTCTATGTCATAGGTTATTTATTTATTTATTTATTTATTTTGCAGTTTTTGGCCATGGCTGGGTTTGAAGCCACCACCTCCGGCATCTGGGGCCAGCACCCTACTCCTTTGAGCCACAGGCACCACCCTACGTCATAGGTTTTTAAAGTTTCTTAACAACAAGAGCTAAAAACTAAAAGATTTTTAAATACAATTTGGTTGATAAGAACATTAAACTAACCAGGAGTTTCCACTCCTCAAGCATCCCAGATCATAAGAAATTTATTCTAACTAACTGGCTGAGTTCATTTATCCTATGGGAGTACATGTGATTCTTTCTAAATGGAGAATATAAATGTCTTAACACAATAACTAAGAAAATGACATGAAGGCTATGTTAACCAGATGGATCAAAGTATTTCAAACTGTATATAGAAACAACACACTGTACCCCATGATAGTATTAATGTACACAGCTATGATTTAAAAAAAAAAAAAAAAGATATAGCATCTCCACTAGGTACCCTGGGACGCAGACAACAACCTGTTTCCAAGTATTTTCCCAGGAACAATTAGGATTATTGGTATAGGAGGAATCTTTCGAGTGGCTCTGGCAGACACAGCTTGTGGACCACTTGATGACATGCTCGGCCCAGGCACTTCCGGACACACAGGCGGCAGAGCTGGGAAAGAGCAGGCGGGCCTGAGGAAGAAATAGAAATATACAAATGCTGTGAACTTCACAGTGGTGGGTGGGGCCTGAAGGAGGAAATAGAAATATACAAATGGCTCGGTGCCTGTGGCTCAAGTGGCTAAGGTGCCAGCCACATACACCTAAGGTGGCGGGTTCAAATCCAGCCCAGACCCACCAAACAACAATGGTGGCTGCAACCAAAAAAATAGCCAGGCGTTGTGGCAGACGCCTGTAGTCCCAGCTACTTGGGAGGCTGAGGCAGGAGACTTGCTTCAGCCTGGGAGTTGGAGGTTGCTGTGAGCTGTGATGCCATAGCACTCTACCCAGGGGGACAGCTTGAGGCTCTGTCTCAAAAAAAAAAAAATATACAAATTCTGTGAACTTCATAGTGGTGGGGTGGGGTAGGATGGAGAGGGGAAATCAGAAAACTGGAAGAGGTCAAAAAAAAAAAAAACTGGAAGAGGTTGAAACTTTCTAAAAGCAGAAGAGAACCTGGATCTGCATAGGAATCAAAGAATGAGGTAGCAGACCCAAATACTGATAGAAGATCCGGATGTGCCCCTGTGGTGGGCATATATTTCTTTAGGTAGATCTTCCAATGGCAATTATGTCACCGATCTTGAAGAATGCACCTCTTTGATGTATTGCATGTGCCTGTGAATGTGATATCCTGGCCCAGGATAAAATGCAAATGGATAGAGCTTCAGAATAGAGAAACAACGAGGGAGAGGGTATCAGCAGGAAGCTCCATCTGTGTGGTCAGTCACAGAGGGAGTGTGAGGAGATGTACCAGGGGCCAGATGCTTAGCTCCCAAAGGCTTCCTGGACCTCCTGTCTCAAGCTGCCTGTGAGGTCGTGCTAGCTGAGTCCTGACTCACCATGATCTTATGGAGTCATCATGCCCATGGCTTTGAGTGCCTCTGATTCCTTTAGGAAAACAATGTGATTAGAGTCCAAAATATTGCTGAATAGGATGGATGAGCTTTTAGCAGGAATACTAGTTAGAAAGGGACAGTCACAATATCCCATTATTTTCTAACCTGACCATATCAATAAAGATCCCTTTGAGTAGGTCTAATTATAGGCCTGTACAAAGTTTTCCTTTTTAAGAAAATCCTGGCTCAGCGCTGGTAGCTCAGTGGTTAGGGTGCTGGACATATGTACTGGGGCTGGTTCAAACCCATCTGGGGTCTGCTAAACAACAATGACAATGACAATAACAACAATAATAAAATAGTTGGGTGTTGTGGCAGGTGCCTGTAATCCCAGCTACTTGGGAGGCTGAGGCAAAAGAATCACTTAAGCCCAAGAGTCTGAGGTTACTGTGAGCTGTAATGCCACAGTACTCTACCGAGGATGACATAATGAAACTGTCTCCAAAAAAAAAAAATCCTACTGTAACATCACGTTACACTCCATGAAAAATACTGCATGTACAAATAGCCAGGTAAGAGTGGGATTAACAATTGCCAAGAGCATCCATGTGATAGAAAGCTACCTGGAGGACCAAAGAATCATCCTTAGTTAAAACCTTGGGAAGTGAAAATGGAAAACCGTAATGCAGACAAATTGTCCAGTTTGCCTAGAGAAATTCAGACACTGTAGTGAACTCTGATATATCTGGTATTCATCCTTCTAGAGCAAGTGGCTATGTTTATGAAGACAAAGGACAGAGGAGCTTGCAAGTCCTAGTTCTGGAAACATTTTTTTTTTTTTTTTTTTTTGAGACAGAGCCTCAAGCTGTCCCCCTGGGTAGAGTGCCGTGGCATTACAGCTCACAGCAACCTCCAACTCCTGGGCTCAAGCGAGTCTCCTGCCTCCGCCTCCCAAGTAGCTGGGACCACAGGCGCCCGCCACAACGCCCGGCTATTTTTTGGTTGCAGCCGTCATTGTTGTTTGGCGGGTCCGGGCTGGGGATTCAAACCCGCCACCTTAGGTGTACGTGGCTGGCGCCTTAGCCGGTTGAGCTATAGGCGCCGAGCCTGGAAACATTTTTGATGGAAAAAAAGGCAGGAAATATGAAAAGTGCTATAAGGTATATTCTTGGTTAACAGTTGCAAAGTACCTGGTATTTCCAAACTGAGATCTGGCAAAGAAGATCATAATTCTTCTGATGGAGATTCAAATCAAAGAGCAATCATTAGTGATCTGGACTATTGTAAATGATAATATAGGCCAGTGGTTCTCAAAGTGTGGGCCTTAGACCAGCAGCATCAGCATCACCTGGGAGCCCACCAGATATGCAGTTGCTGGCCCTACCCCAGATTCTTCTGAATCAGCATCTGCGTTTTAAGGAGATCACCAGGTGACAGGTATGTTAAAGCTTAAGGAGCCCTGATTTAGAGAGACTGTTTCTAAAATGATTAAACCAAACATTCCACTTAAGATATGGAAGGCAGTTGGACAAAATGGAACTGTTGAGTGCAATGAAAACTCCCTCCATCCACTGGAAACTGTTTCAGAAGATTCACGATTGGAGCCTCATAACATTAGGAGTGCATGTTCTGGCTGGTGTGGCTCACACTTGTAATCCTAGCTCTTTGGGAGGCTGAGGCGGGTGGACTGCTTGAGCTCAGGCGTTCAAGACCAGCCTAAGCAAGAGAAAGATCCTGTCTCTACTAAAAAGAGAACTAGCCTGGCGTAATGGTAAACACCTGTAGTCCCAGCTACTCAGAAGGCTAAGACAAGAAGATTACTCAAGCCCAAGAATTTGAGGTTGCTGTGAGCTATGATGCCATGGCACTCTACCCAGGGCAACTGAGTCAGACTCTGTCTCAAAAAAATAATAATAAGATAAAAAAAGAGTGCAGGTTCTGGGGTCAGATAGCTTGATTAAAATCTGAACTAGTTCTACTTCTGAGTAGCTGTGTGACTTTCTTCCGCAAGCCAATCTCTCAACGTGTAGCATCAGTTACTACTGTGTAAAGTTCTTGATGCTTTAACTTTTTAAAAATTCAGTGAGATTAATCTCTTTCAAATTTAGCTCAGTGCTAAATTTGGCTAAATAATCATAATGATCTGTAATATTCTCCCAGGCATTCAAATCAATATAGCCTGATCAATATAGGCTCAGAAGATGTTCTCTTATTGTCAGGATATAACATAATTCTCTTTTGAATTTGGGATATGAAGCATCTGAGATACTCCCCTTTCTCCTCTACAGTTGTTAATGCCCACAGTGCAATTGGGAGTGTGGCAATGAGGAATGCAAACCCACCTACTCCCGGATCTGGCGAGCAGGCAAACCACCTCACCATTTAGTCAGGTGTTTGGAATACATACGCTGTGTCCCCTCTGCCACTTCTCAATGCAAACATTTTGAATTTGCAGCTGGATGACCGCCCAGTACTCCAAAGCAGAGTTCTGGTTTGTTCAACCATATGCTTATGCCCGGATAGATATTGAAGTTCAATATTTTTAGGGTAAAAACAGGTTTGCTGATTATCTCCTTCTTATGGAAAATACAAAGCAACATTCAGGTTATATGTGAATGCCCTTTGGTTATAAGTGAATATATAGAACGTGTAAAATCCCAGAAGTAACGTCAGTGATAGCAAGGCTTGCCATCTCCCACCATACCTACCACCCTCAATTAAAAAACAAACTAAAAAAAAATGGCTCGGCACGTCTGTAGCACAGCAGTTACAGTGCCAGCCACATACATGGAGGCTGGTAGGTTTGAACCCAGCCCAGGCCAGCTAAATAACAATGACAACTACAACAAAAAATAGCCAGGTGTTGTGGGAGGCACCTGTAGTCCCGGCTACTTGGGAGGCTGAGGCAAGAGGATCGCTTAAGCCCAAGAGGCTGAGGTTGCTGTGAGCTGTGACATCATGGTACTCTACCCAGGGCGACAGCTTGAGACTCTGTCTCAAAAAACAAAAAAGAAATGCTAGGAATGGGAAGGAGAAATGGTGTGTTTAGGGAAGGACAGCAGACACGCCCAGCCCTTGGTTACCTTCACGGAGCAGAAGCGCCTGCTCCACACTGCTTTTCGGAGCTGCCAGATCAAGTGCACTTTTGCCCTGAGCATTTCTGAGCTTCAGGTTAGCCCCATAGTCAGTTAGCAGGCGGATGACCTCCACGCTGGACTGCCTCGCTGCCGCGTGCAGGGGGGTGTCTAGCCATTGGCCGTGATCAACACTGGCTCCTTAATAAAACAGACAGCCACATTTCAACATGAAATGTTAATGTAGAACACACCGAGCCTCAGCTGTGCAGTGCTATAACGTATGTAATAAATATTTGAAAATACGTGACTTCAGCCTAGAACTTCAGCAATGCCTACTAAGACCATTTCAAAATATTTCAATGGAAAAAGTGACTTTAAATATTTTTAGTCATTTTAAAGACTTGCTTCCCCATACAAGCCGTGTGATATACAAAATAAAATATTTGAGACTCCTGTTGCATAGTTATTATGGTTTTTTTGGTGAAAAATAAACCTAAGTTTATTTACTATTTGTTTTGAACCTAAGTTTATTTACTATTTTACTATTTGTTTTATTTAGGGCACAAGAAGAAATGATTCCTGGATGTTCTATAGAGAATAGTAAATGATGGGGAATAAAAAAGACAAACATTTCTTGAAGATAAAAATTCTCAAGTAAAGGTTCTTACTATAACCCCCATTTCTGTGTTGGGGATAAGTTTGTTGAATCTTTTTTTTTTTTTTTGTAGTTTTTGGCCGGGGCTGGGTTTGAACCCACCGCCTCCGATATATGGGGGCACCACCCGGTTTGTTGCATCTTTAACCAAATAATAGTTTCCAGATATTTTACTTTCCCCTGGACTCTCGGTTTTTGTATAAGCCTTTTAGAATTTTTAAAAAATGACTAAGTATGGTGTGTGGCCAATGAATGTTGTTTTAATTGTCCACCATCTTCCTGGCAAGCACACCTAGCTATCCCTCCAGGGAACCACCCTTTTGTAACTCCCAGTTCCTGTGTTCAGCAAAGCCTAATAACTGCAGAGTAGGCTGAAATCCAGGCCTAAGCCCATCACCATAATAATCCAGGCCTAAGCCCATCACCATAATAATCCAGGCCTAAGCCCATCACTATAATAATCCAGGCCTAAGCACCATCACTGCTCCCTTGGCCACCATGAGCAGTTCAGAGATGGGTATGCAACTCACAAAGAGACAATGCTCTTTCCTTGCTGTGTACAGATGAGGAGAGCTACGCGTCCCAGCCCAGGTGCTGCTGGCAGCCATCTTGAGACCACCAGGGAGAATAGTACCAAGTAAATGGAACCATCATCAAAAGAAGCAGACCTGAGAAACACAGACACTCGTTCTCTGGAGAACCCTCTGCTTTCAGCATTCAAACATTAAACACTATCAGAATTTTTTCCAGCCTGACAAGAACTCCCTCTTTAAAGTCATAAAAAACCAACAGTGTTCACCCATTCTTTTCAGGAAAAGATTTCTAGACCTGGAAATTACCTAATTCCAGAAGTTTCTTCACACAGTCTACCCTCTGGTAGGTGCAGGCCACATACAGGGGAGTTCCGAGCTGAGGCACCTCCTGGTCAATGTTAACATTCTTTGCCAGCAGAATCTCCATGCATGCTCTGTGACCTGGTGGAACACAAGATCACCTCACTCAAGGAAGGGACACATTGACTAGTCACAGAATTCTAGGATCGGTTATCTGAAATGGGCTTCAAAATGAACCTAGATCTCTTTTTGTAGTAGGAAAAATAAAATTTGTTTTAGAAACCTTAGGTAGAAACCCCTCCAATAAAACCAATCAAAAGGAAGCATGTTCATGCTTCCCACCCATTTCCTTTTGGCAGCCCCTAAAGTAACTCCAACGAAATGGAGGGCTCCAAGGAGCATGCTTGAAATCAGCCTCTAGAATGAAGCCTCTGCTTTGCAAATGGAGGTGATGAGATGCAGAGGGTAAATGACCAACCCCACTACTACTCTGAAAAGCCAGTGCTCAACCCAAAGGAACCCTGTTCCTGCTCCATGACAAGTCTCTCAT